TTCTTGCACAGAAAGACAAATTCAAGGAAGTGAAAGTGAGAGACAAGTCTACCAGAGTGTTCAAAGGTAGATCCCTAATAGCAGAATCAGTGAGGTTACTTCTCATCTGGATTAGGGAAAAACAGATGAAAGGTGATTCAGTTTCTACTGAATTTATTTGTGAAAGAGCCAGGGAAATATACAAACATTTAAAGGTAAATCAACCTGGTTCTTCAGGCAGAGAATTTGAAGATTTTAGAGCCAGCAAGACCTGGTTAAAAAAATTTAAGAAAAGAAGTGACATATTTAGTGTTAGGCATGGTGAGGCTGCCAGTGCTGATAAGGAAGGGGCAGCAAAGCTTTTAGTGGAATTTAAAGAACTGGTGGATACAGAAAATTATCTTCCACAGCAAGTGTTCAATGTGGACAAAACTGGGCTGTTCTGGAAAAAGATGCCCAAAAGAACATTCATCACCAGAGATGAAGCCTCTTTACCTGGGCATAAACCCATGAAAGACCGTCTCACTCTATCGCTTGGTGCCAATGCTTCAGGGGATTTCCGACTGAAGCCTATGCTTGTCTACCACTCTGAGAACCCCAGGGTGTTCAAGCAACAAAAAGTGGTAAGAACAAAGGTTGGAGTTTATTGGAAATCCAACCGTAAGGCATGGGTAACAAGACAGCTCTTTAATGAATGGGCTGTTGAGGTGTTTTGCCCTTCTGTCAAGAGCTACCTAACCACCAATAAACTCCCTTTAAAGACTCTTCTCCTCATGGATAATGCTCCTGGTCATGACCCTCAACTTGCCAGAACTTTGGAGTCTCAATTTGACTTTGTCAAAGTGTTGTTTTTGCCTCCAACCACTACATCAATCATACAGCCAATGGACCAGAATGTGATCAGCAACTTTAAGAAGCTGTACAGTACATGAAAATTTTCAGGAGGTGTCATCAGGCAACTTCCACTGATCCTGAACTAACACTGGCACAATTCTGTAAGACACAGTTTAACATCCTGGAGGCTGTAAAATTGATTGTGTCTTCATGGCAAGAAGTCTCCACTAGATCCCTCAATTCTTCATGAAAAGCACTGTGGCCATCAGTAGTCCATGATTTTGAGGGATTTCAGGATGAAACAGAGTTGCACCAGGAGATTGTATCCATTGGTCAGTCATTTGGCCTTGAAATGGAGGATGATGATGTAGAAGAGCTTGTGATGTCTCATGAACAGGAACTTACTCCTGAAGACTTGCAGCAACTGGATGAGATGTTAAGAGGCTGACAGTGGTGAGGGAGGAAACGGAAAGTGATGACCATATGTCAACTTCAGAGTTGAAAGATGTTGTTCACCACTGAAGGAAGTTCAGGAAACTGGCTTCAAGGCACCCAGATGTGGAAAAGTCTGAACTAGCTTTGTGTCATGTTGAGGACACAGTGGTCTCCTTCTTCAAACATCAGTTAATGATGAGGAGGAGAGATGCCCCACAAACAAAAATTGACAGATTCTTTAGTAAAAGGCAGCGGGAACAAGATGCTAGCCCTCAGCCTTCCACTTCAAGAAGGAGAGAGGATGTTCATGGTGGAGAATCTGTCAGTCCAGAGGTTCCTGACATTTTCATGGAAGGTGACTCACCTTCCAAGAAGCAGTAAAATGCTTCTCCTCCACCTCCACTTCCTTCTCTTCTCCCTTCTCCTCCACCCCCATTCTAATCCCCATCATCATCCAGGAGCCTTCTACATACACACCTCAAAGTAAGTGTACCTTTCTACCTTTTTTGTTGAATTTAGGCAATTTTCGGTGAGCTGGAACCAATTACCCAAAAACCCATTGAAACAATGGTTTCGGTTAATGAGTTTTTCGGATAACGAGCAACCTTCTAGAACGGATTGTGCTCGTTAACCGAGGGACCACTGTACTGGTATCAGAAGTGACAAAAGCAAGTTTGCGGATGACACCAAAATAGGGCAGCAGATTAATTCAGGGCAGGATGCAAATGCACTACAGGGGGATTTAAATAAACTGCAGGAGTGGTCAGAAAAATGGAAATGAAATTCAACACCAGCAAGTGCAGCGTACTTAATATTAGAAGAAAAAATACTGGCAATGTATACAGCCTTAACAACATCAACCTTGAGAAGTCGACTTGTGAAAGAGACTTAAGGGTACTTGTAAGCCCGGACCTACGGCCTAGAAAACAGTGCGTTAATGTTCGAAATAAGGCAAACGGAGTATTAGGTTTTATATCTAGAAATGTAAGTAATAAGAGTGCAGAGGTCTTATTGCAACTATATCTTGCGCTAGTCAGACTGCACCTCGATTATGCTGTTCAGTTCTGGTGCCCTTATTATAGAGATTCACTGGAGTCGGTGCAGAGAAGAACGACGAAAATGATTCCGGGACTTAGAAACCTTCCTTATCACGATGGATTAAAGAAACTAAACTTGCATTCCCTAGAAAGACGAAGAGTGTGGGAAGATATGATAGAAGTATTTAAGTGGGTGAAAGGAATCAATAAAGGAGATATAGATGAAGTTATTATAATATCCGAGCAGGATAGGACTCATAGCAATGGATTTAAGTTGATAAGTTTAGGTTTAGGAGGGAGATAGGAAGGAACTGGTTCACAAATAGGGTAGTAGACGAAAAGAACAAGCTTAGCAACTTTGTAGTAAGTGCTGGAACACTGGAAAGTTTTAAAAGGAGGCTAGATAGATTCATGGATGATAGAGAGTGGTAGTAACTCTCAACAGGAGCTGCCTTGCACAGGCCAACCGGCCTATTGCAGACTCCTTATTTTCTTATGTTCTTATATTAAACATTATATTAAACATAAAGAACTTCCTATGATATGGTGAATTTGAGGCATTTTCTGGACGCGAGATGATGCAGCCGCACCAGCGCTTACGCTGCCCAGGCGGCGGAGTGATTTACTGTGATGGCGGGAAATGTCGAGCCACGGCATTGAGGAAGTGATGAACAAATTTCTTTCTGGTTTGAAAGCACAGGGGTTCCCGCAGTGTGGACAGTCTCTATTTAAAGGAACAATGCCTTGGTCTTTGAACAATTGAAGGGTCTCATTGTCTTCATCCCTAAATTTGCAAATTATGTCCACATAAGACAGGCAACAACCTTCACTCATCATGCTGAAAATGAAAATGCCACGAGCCTGGGGAAAAGAACCACAGCAGAGCGCGGCCTCATTACCGTTGGGAAGACAATATCCAGATCCCTGCTGACATTTTCCCCATATTGACCACCTAATTATCTATGAAACGAAGAATTTGCACAAGAAATTATTATCATATCAGAACTCATTGATGAGAATATTGTAAGAAAATAAGGTATTACTGTATTTTACTTTCGGACATAGCGTCCCCGAAAGTAATAAACTACTGAAGCATTTAGATCTGGCTATTCTGAGCATTTTGAACCCCATATATACATGGTGGAAATGGATAATAGCGACACAATTGAATTCAATTGATTTTAAGTACTTTTCTGTCTTCGTCTGTGAGATGATGTTATCAGCGCATCACGCAAGCGCAATGTTGACTGACGTCATCCAGTCGTGACCAATGATGTATCAATATCAGCACGCAAATTTTTTTCGACCAATCACATTTGATTTTTTTCAAAGGAAGCAGCCTGGGTAATTTCATTGACCAGTTTCACAATGGTCGTGGTGGAGGTTGGTTGTCGTTTGTGCTCCTACGATTATTTTAAGTTTATTGCCGAGTTTTACGAGAAAGACGATCACTCTATCCAAGTCTTACATATCCCTGGTCCTTCCACTTCTAACTAAGGTATTGTATTGTACTTTCAGACATGGCGTGCCCCAAAGTTTTTAACTACTGAAAAACTTTGGTTAATTTCAGGTGGGCCTACCGGGGTCTGGGGGCAGAGCCGGCTAGGAATTAGGTTAGGTCAGATGACTCATTTTCGTTTTCTCCCCACCCAAAACTCCAATTTCCCAGGCTCTCCCCCATTATTGTTGAAGTTTGTAATTTCTGTCAAAAATAAAGGTCAGATTTGTTTAAAATACAACAAAATTCACTGGAAAAACATATTGGTCAACCCCTAGGGACTCATGTCCTTAAGTAAAAATTTACCGAAAATAAACAGTAATAAAAATAACTCGTCCGCGGGTTAGTCGTATATATTAACCAATATACCTAGAACTGGACCCAAAATATGGTAAATTTATATTATCACACTGGTATTTATTTTGATATTAAAAATAGGTTTTCTATGTATTTTGATGAGTTTCAAACGAATTTGATATTCATTTTCACCGGAAATTACGTGTCTTTTAGATACCCCCCCACACACAACAATCACAACAGAAAAAGTTGGATTTTTTTTTTTAAATAAATTATATTTCCAACCAACCAAGAAAACCTAACCTAACCTAACCTAACCAGCTCCCTATCGGAGGCCTGGAGCAATGCCTGAGCAGAGGGTTCAGACCACCTCCGTCATAAGTAAACAAATCATGTCGACACTTGAGACTGTAAAGTAATAATCTTGAAAAATTAATATCTCGGTTATCCTTAATTTCCGGTGGAAATATCATAGAAGAAAAATATGTTACAATTGTGTAGACATTATGAGATATATATTTTTACTACAGAAATAAAGACCGGTGTGATACTATAAATTAACCAAAAATATTGTGGGACATTATGGGCAACTTGTAAAAAAAATACGACATTCAAACAGCTTCAATACAGCCATATTAGTGTGCTTCAAAATAGCCTTTGATATAATTATCAATAATATTGGAGGGATCCTACACAGGTCACTGGCCTTCTTCCCATAAGGTAAGTAAGGCACAGGTAATGTATAAAATTTACTGACGATAACACAAAGTATTACTACTGTATAATACTGAACATATTTCTAATGTCCAGTGAACAATGTGATATCTTGCGTTATGTTATGAATGATCCTTACAATCTTGTTTTTAATAATTTGTAGCGTGACTTAGCTCATCAGCTTAATATTAAGAGTAATACAGTACCTGTGGCTGGTCCTCCTCTACGTTGTTTACACTCTGCCGCCGCCGCCAGTGTGTGTCAGTGGCTGTGGCTTTGGATTTGCTGGCCAGCTTACCTCTCACCTATTTCGGCCTGAACTAATGTTTTTTTTTCTTTTTGTTTTTGTGCTAGATGATGATTGGATGAGTGATATGATTAGAGACAGTCTTAGTGTGTGTTGTATACTTTTTACCTTACTTTACTATCAATAACGTACAGTAGAAAATATACTTTAACTTTAATCTTCTTCACCACTGATCGGCTCGTTAGCCGCCCGGGCGATCGGTCACATCTCTGTTACTTTTCCTTTTCTTTTATCCTCTTCACCAAATGATCGGTTCGTTAGCGCTTTGGCGATCGGTCACGTCTCTGTCACGCACTGTTGGCAAATACTGGGCATGCACCAGCTCCTGAATGTACCTGAATCTGCTCCAGTGTTGGTCAAGTCTTGTCTTGAAAGAGCTCACACTCGGTGCCGTCACAACACTCTCTGGTAGATTGTTCCAAGAGTTTACAACTCTCTCTCCGAAAAAGTTTGCCCTCACAGTTTTCTGGACTTGCAGCTTCTTCAATCTTAAGCTGTGACCCCATGTGGGGCGAGCGTCCGCTAGCTCCAAGTAAGGACACTCAACTGAGTAGTGCCCCCGAGAGATGTTTATACACCTCAATTAGGTCACCCCTTGCCCGTTTGTAGTATAAGCTAGTGTAAGATTGCACTATCGTACTATATGTTTTCCCATGTTGAGGTGGGAGCTTGTCTTTGGCAGCGCCTGGTTGCCAGTCACCAGCTGGCGCTGTTAGAATAAAGTCTACAAAGAACGTGGTTTATGATTCAAACCTCTCACATGGAGCACAGTGAGTAGGATATGTCGGGGCCCGATACGCCATTACAGCCCTGACAAGAACGCTGACATGGCCCCTACACGTCCACGATTCTCGACGCCCTCAAGGTCGTGTTGCGTCTCTGTAACAAAGCGTGTTCGGCATCCGGGCCTTCGATGTAGAGCGGCAGAAACTGGACAGTGATTACATAAGTTCGTCAAGATCGTCTTAGTGAGGTGAAAGTGTAAATCGATGTCGGACTTTTCATGCTAGACACGATTGTATTTTTGAAAACTCAATTTCCACCGAGTTGGAGGTACAGCCAGGGTCACAGGCCTATAACCACACAATCACTGCCACATGACAAAGCTTTTATTTTATTTTATTTTTTAGGGTGTTGTGGTCACGGCTGTGATAAAGGCCAACCAGGGAGTGTAGTACTGTGCCTTCAGTTAAATCAGTTCATAGTTGTCATCAGTGAATGCAGAAGAGACTATAATAACTTAAAGCGAATACATATTGGCAATCGAGCTGGTAAGGACAACTGCCAGCCTATTCGTGTCATAGGTGCCACAGAGACTTTAAATTTTATTTTGTTTGTGTGCTTGCTCAAGGACTGAATCTGTGTTTATAATACACCACTCACAGGGAGATACAGTGTACACAGTGATAGTTCATAGTGTCATCAGTGACCGCTGAAGTTGTAAATAACTTAAAGTGAGCGCTCACTAGCAAGCAAGCTGGAAAGGCACCGTGCCAGCTGAAACCAAGTCGTGTCATAGGTGCCACAGAGACTTTAAATTTTATTTTATGTTGATTGTGTGCTTGCTCAAGGACTGAAACTGTGCCTACAATACACCATTCACAGGGAGATACAGTGTACGCAGTCGCAGACGACAACTCCATAGGCAACAGAGAGTAGCTAAGTACTTTTTTCTCTCTTTATTTTCTTTGAAATAGGTGTAGATCTATACACAGTCTACACCCCCCCCACAACAACAACAACCATGAGTTTGGTATGTGATTACTGCAGGGAGACGTCGGATATGGAGGATGCAGGCCTAACTAATGCAACGTTTAGGAAGTTACTAACTGCCGTAAAGCTTGATGGCTGTTGCTGGTATTGCCCTGGCTGCATAGTCAAGGTGAATGAAGCGATTGCAATCCATAAGGGAACGAGTTCTCTAGGGACGAAAATAGATGAAGCAGGAGCCCTGCTGGTTGACAAACTGGAGCAAGTTGAGAAAGAGATCCTTGCTAAGACTGAGGAAGTAGCTAATAGAATGGAGGTGGTTGCTAAGAGGAGCTATGCGGACGTATTAGGAGGGCCACGGGTGGGGGGGGCGGAGAGTAATGCAGAATCAGTACAGGTTCTACAGCAGATTGGGACTCTGAAAAAGTGTGTCGAAGAAATGAAAATTAACGGACCTACTGTTAGGGGAGAGGAGGAACACCAGGAACGGCTCCAGCGCAGGAACAATGTAATAGTTTTTGGAGTCCCAGAGAGCCAGGCAGAGGGAACTGTGAGTAAGGAAACACACGACAAGGTGCTGTTTCAAAATATTTGCACAGAGGTTCTGAAGATTCCAGCAACCCCTCAGGATGTGAGGAGACTGGGACAAAAGCAGGGGGCTAAGCCTCGCCCCCTCAGGATCACACTAGGGAGTGAGGAGGAAAAATGGCAAGTTATCCGGCAGGCAAAAAACTTAGCAAGGAGCGAGGCATTTCGAGATGTATTTATTCACCCAGACCGCACGGTAATGCAGAGGGAACAGCACAAGAAGCTCCTGCTGGACTTGAAGCAGAAGAGGGAGGAGTCGAGAAGGAACGGGGACAGGTGCACATGGGTTATACTCAGGGGGAGGGTAGTGGAAACAAGTGTGCCGACACAGGGCCAGGGGGCAGCAGTGCACCCTCCACCCACTCAACCCCCCACCCGGGAGGCGGCACCAGCTCAGCCTACCGGACAGGAGGGAACGAGCGCCGTGTAAACAATGAAATTTTTAACCACACCCTGCAAAATACAGTGTACTTAGCAAATGCTGCAGCTTCTGAGAATGTGGGTGGAGCGGGTTTATTACTAAGAGCAGAGACGTTACCGAGAACAAATTCTGGCTTGAATGTCATGTACACTAATACCGACACGTTCCTTGATAAGAGGGAGGAGTTTGAAACACTACTAAGAGTACACCAACCAGATATTGTAGGAGTTGTAGAACTGTTGTACAAGAACAGGAGAATCGACCCAGAGGAATGTGAGTTCAGTATTGCTGGATATGACTCATTTACGAACCTAACTCAAGAATCCTGCAGGAGGGGTGTGGGTATCTACGCTAGGCAAGACCTTAGAGCCAGCCAGGCGAGGGTACAGGGAGAGGATGTCTTTGAAGAGTCCAAGTGGTGTAAAATTAAATTAAAGGGAGGGGACTTACTTATCGTCGGGTGTATCTACAGATCCCCGAACTGTGGCCCACTAAATCAAAGGAACTTAAGAACCTTAATAAACAATGCGGCGATGCTCAACCCCAGCCACCTCCTTATCATGGGGGACTTTAACTATGGCGACATCGACTGGAGAAACGAGTCAACCCCGAATGACTTGAATAATCCTGCTACTCTTTTTGTAGAAACTCTGAGAGATAATTTTCTGTTCCAACATGTGAGAGACCCGACACATTACAGAGGGGAACAAACACCCAAGCCACTTGACCTCATCATAACAAACGAGGAGGGTATGGTGGCCAAACTGGAACACCTTGCCCCAGTTGGCACCAGTCACCATACAGTGTTGTCATTCAGATTTAACTGTTACCTAGTTCAAGATAAGGCCAGGCCAAGGTGCAAATATTACAAGGGAAATTACAATGGGATGAGGGAAGAGATGAGGGGTATCAACTGGCCTGACTTATTAAGGTACAAGAACGCAGACACTACGCTGAATATCATAACTAGTAAAATGACCCATTTGATCGATAAATATATACCCAAGACCAAACCCAGTGCTTCTAGGAATACGAGGGGATCCCTACACATGAACCATGCGGCGGTCGACAAAATTAAGAAGAAAACCCAGAAATTCAAGACGTGGGTTGGGTCAAACGATGAGCAAGACAGGAGGATGTATGCAAGAGCCAGAAACCAAGCAAAGATAGAGTGTAGGAGGGCTGAAAAGGAGTTCCAAAGGCTGGTTGCACGCGAGGTCAAGTCAAACCCAAAGGCGTTTTACCGCTATGCAAAGTCGAAATTGAAAACGCGAGTAGGAGTATCAGACCTGAGGCTTGAAGATGGTAGTTACGCAGATTCTGACCAGGATAAAGCTGAGGCATTGAACAGCTTCTTTTCCTCAGTGTTCACAAGAGAGGATGCAACTAACCTTCCTGCGTTTGAGGACAGACGGTTCGACACAGCACTGACCCACATTGTGTTCACAGAAGAGGGTATTAGAAATAAACTGTCCAGGCTAAAGGTCCATAAGAGTCCTGGACCTGACATGGTGCATCCTAGAGTGCTAAGGGAGCTGTGCAACGAGCTTGCAGAGCCCCTGAAGATTCTGTTTTGTAAATGCCTGGATGAACAAATGGTCCCCAGTGAATGGAAAGTGGCTTATGTGAGTCCTATCTTCAAGAAGGGCGATAGGCACTCCACGAACAACTATAGACCGGTGAGCCTGACCAGCATAATATGTAAAGTACTTGAGAGTATTATCAGAGATGCAGCGATGGAACATCTACTACGAAACAACCTTGTAAAAGATTGCCAACACGGTTTTATGCCGGGGCGCTCTTGCTTGACACAATTGCTCAAGGTATTGGATATTTGGACCCATATTCTAGAACGGGGTGGTAATATCGACAATATTTACCTAGATTTTGCCAAGGCTTTCGACAGTGTACCCCACGAAAGGCTGAAAATCAAACTGGAAGGGTACGGAATTCGGGAAATGTCCTAGCGTGGATAGAAGACTTTCTACATGACCGCAAGCAATGTGTGGTGATTAATGGCACGAAATCGTCATCTGTACCTGTAACAAGTGGGGTACCGCAGGGTAGTGTATTGGGCCCGCTGTTGTTTGTTTGTTTCATAAATGATATGCCTGACGTTGTACACTCCTCCATACAAATGTTTGCCGATGACGCCAAGTTATTTCGGGAAATTAAGAACCAAGCGGACTGTGAAGAGCTGCAGAAGGACCTCTGTGGGCTCCAGGAATGGTCGAAGGAATGGCTGCTGAGATTCAATGTCACGAAGTGTAAGAGGATGC